GGCGGCCGGGGACTCGGGCGCGCGTGCCGCTGCCGAGGCCGCCGCGCTGGCCGTCTTGCGCCGCCGCCCCGCGGTGGCCGCGCGGGCCGCGGGGCCGCCGTCCAAGCCTGGATTGCCAGCGGGGCTGCTGCCGCTCCCGTCACTGCCTGTGCGAGCAATCTCCGCAATCAGCGGCGCGCCGCCCTGCGCCGCCGGCGCCGCCGGGGCGGCGCCGCCTGTGTTTACAGACCACCTGAGAACGCGCGCCGCCGGCGCCCCCGCCCCACTCATTGGCGGCGCGGCGGCGGCGGCGGCCGCATCTGCTGCGGCGCTGCCAGCGTCAAGAGGCGCCTGCGGGGGCGGCTGCTGCGGCGATACAAGGGGCGACAGGCCGGGGCGGCCGGCGGTGGCTGCGGCGGCGGCCGACTTGACCCAGAGTTCCTGGTCAAGGCGCGCCGACCATACCTTGCGCAGGCTGGCCAGAGCACCGTCCACTGCAATGCGGAGCGTTTGAATCATTTAAGAGGCTTTTCCCAAGCAACTCAACGCCGCGGGGCTCTTGAGCGGCGAGTCCCTGCGTGCGCCGCCGCTGGCTCCCCTTGCAGGCGTGTGAGCGGGCTGGAAACGCGGGTCCCTTCGTGCCCCAACGCCCATCAAACAAGACACTTGGCCCCTTATACCTGCAGGCGTCGGGGTTGGGCACGTGACTGGAGCGCTGGGCGCCACCTCTGCCGCCGGGATGGCGACGGACAGCCGGCTGGCCTGCCGGCGTGCGGGGCCGCGCTGGCTGCCCCCCGCCGCCGGCGCGCGGGTCCCGGCCGGCCCGCCGCCCTCCGCTGCCGGATCTGCGCCCATTGGTATAGGCTGCACCGCCAGCGTCGTCCGCTGCTCAGCCCACTCCTCCAGCGCGCCGCGGGGCGCCCTTGGTTGCTCGTGCTTTATGACGGTGCGCCGGCTGGCATCCCAAGTGCCCAACGCCTGTGGCGGTACTGGTGTGCTCGCCGAGCCATCATCCTTGAGTGTCTTCGCTTCCTATGAAACGAGGGGGCGAGGCGAACGAACCCCGTTGTGAACGAACCCAGCTCCGGCTCGTGTCGGGCAGCCAGCCACGGCATGGGTCATGAGGCAGGCCTCACCAGTAAGTACAGCATCGCGTTGAGTGTCGCAGACTCTTGCCGCTTGGGGGACAAGCCTGCCGGAAGTGTTGCCATCATCGTGCTCGAGCTGCTGCGACCTGCCTTTGGGCGGCTTTCTACGTGTTGTCCGGTGCCAAGCGTTTAGATGCGAGGTTTTAGAAAAATAGTGAGTATACGAACAACAACGAAGTAGGGAACGTATGCAATTGTCGCGGTGTCGCCCACATTCCCCCCACTTTCTGCGAGCGAGGGCGCCTGTCGCCGTCACGATGAGTCGCGCCGTTGCGTCAACCATTGCCCTTGCCCACCCAGAAGGCTGGGTCACCATCAACTCGCAACAGGGGGGTATTTGAAAATTACATTCACGATGGAAAGGGGCAGGAACCTAGAGGCCATTTGCATGGCTGCGGCTGGGCAGTGCTGTCTGTGGAAAATTCCGCCCGCGAACGTACTCAGTGCACATGCGCGCTTGTGACACACGATTATGACCGTGTGCATGCGCACCGCACGCATGCACACTAAGCCTTGGGGCCGCTGCACTCACTGCTCGCCGCCCACGCAGTATCACCCACTGCAGTGACGCGCCCTCACTCGTCCTCCCACTCCTCCTCGCTGCCCGCCTCCGCCAGCTCAGCAGCCTGCATCAGCCGGCGGTACAGCGGCCGAGACAGCTGGCCATACCGCGCCACGTGGGCGGCGAAGCAGGCCTGGTCCGCTTGGCGCAGGGAGCCGTCGAGCCGCCCGTCATCGCCCTCTGTCTCCTCGACGATGGTCCTGCCGTGTGCGAACATCGCGCACGCAGTCGTGAGCCGGGCGCTGCCGGGCTGCCGGGCACAGCAATCTCGCTTGGCGCCGCGCTCGCGAAACACGCTGGCTGTGAATCCCTTCTGCCGCCGCACCGAGCGGGCCAGTCTCATGCATCAGCACACGCATTCCCAGGCAGCAGCGACGGCCGCACCGACAAACCCCCTGGCACACGTGTGCCACGCAACAAAGGGCCGAACGTACTAGTGACTGACCAAGTGGGATCATCCATATTAGGGGCAAAAGTGCCTGAGAAAACCAGCAACAGCCGGCCGGGAGCGGCGCCCAGCTCACCTGTAGCGGCGCGCCCAGTACACGTGCTCCTCCCCTCCAGGTGCCACTTCCCCCGACAGCGCCGCCAGCAGCTCCAGCAGGCGCGGCTGCTCCTCCCCCGCGGCCGCGGTGGCGAGGGCCGCCAGCTCGTACAGCCTGAACAGGGAGGCCTGGTGTGCGCCGTATGGGGGCGCGCGAGCTTCAGAGGAGCGCGCACGCGCATGTGGATGGAAGAGAACTGTTCTCTTTGCGCGGCCCAGGAGGCTCACAGAGCTGGGCGCGAGGATTTGTGTGTCTGCGAGTGCAAGGGTACCCGTTTACTGCCTAGTCCCGTTCCTTTCCGTCGCGCTGCACCGTCACGGCGCCGCCCAGGGTGCGGCGACAACCCCATGCCAACAGCCGAGCGTATTTACTGGCGGCGCCTGCGCAGCCTGATGTTACCCGTCGTCACCTGTTGTCACCCGCCGTCACCTGGCGTCACCGGCGCCCACCTGGATGTAGATCTGGCTCCTCTGCGGCAGCGCCAGCTTGTTGAAGGCCGCATCCACGACCTCAATGAACGCCGCCAGCTGGTCGCGTATGCTGGCCACCTCGGCCTCGCGGCCGGCCACAACCGCATCCGCCAGGTCAGCCTCCAAGCCCCTGGGCAGAATTTCCAGTGAAGCAGGGTGCGCGCGGCTCAAGATATGTGCTGCGACAGCCCCGTTGACGCGTGCTTACCACCAGGCCGACCGGCTGCATTCCCTACTAGCGTGTGCATTGCATGCGCGGCGGCTCATTCGCCCCGGCTGATGCGGCGAGCCCGCGGCGCTCGCGCTGGAATTGCGAGAGGCCGCCGCACCCGCACGCGTCGATGACATCATCCACCAGCTGCAGGAGGTTGGGGTCCTGGCGCGCCTCGTCACGGCAGCGCACGCACCTGGGATAATGGACGCGTACCGCATTCGTGTGAGTATGGGGGCGTGCTGGGATGTCAGGCGTGAGTGCGGCGGAGGGCTCGCGGGCGTTGTAGCATGTAGCTTGCGAGTGTCGCGTGTGCAGGCATGCGCCTTGTTGAGTGTCAGGATGAGGGGGCGCTCATGAGGGGACTACCATCAGTGCTGCCAGGGCTGCTGTTGAAGGCAGGCAGACCTGCAGGCACCGGCTGGGGGCTCCTGTTGAGATGCTGCTCCTTGTTCCCGTGTGCGTTGTCCACCTTGTTCAGCATGTATCATTGCTTGCAGTGATCCCATGTGCACGTTTGAGCGCCCGCCTGCCGGCCCGTCCGGTATCACCACGCCGCGCACCTGCAAGCAAACCCGCGCGCGTCGCGCAGCGCCGCCTGCCGCTGCTGCAGCGGCGCCAGCAGCAGCGGGCCGGCCAGGTAAGAGGTGGTGACCTCGACCTGCTTGCCGACCGGCCGCGACGCCCGCACCAGCAGGCGGCCCTGATGGTGAGCAGCAGGGCGGCCCGAAAGGATTGCGACAGCGTCCCGCCGGCGGCGGCGGGGGCGAGGGGGCTAGGGGTGAAACCGGGGCGGCGCCTTGCCGAGGGCACGCAGGGGGTTGCTCTTTTGTTGTGCACAGGCGCGTTGCCCGAGGCGCATTTATGCAGATGCATGCCTCCTCCAAGCGGCCCGACAAATTCATAACAGCCGGAAGTGCGGCCCGGGGGAAGCACCGCCCCCACCTCCACTGGGCAACTGCGCCGCCCTCGCCCCCACCGGGCGAAACCGCTGCCCCTTCCCCCTCCCTGATACTTGCAAGCCCATGCCGCGCCTCACACCTCCAGAATCAGGCTCGCGGTGTTGGGGGCGCAGCTGTGGTTGAGCAGCGCCGCCTCCGGCCACAGCCCCACCAAGTCGCGCTGCGGCGCGCCCCGCAGCGCGGAGAGCGCGCCGTCCTCGCGCCCGCACGTATAATTCAGATCCACCAGGTCCGCCAGGAGATCCGGGTCCCAGAGATCCGGATCCTCGTCCGCCCGTTCGCCTTCCGGCGGGGGGTCGGAAGAGGCGGAGGCGAGGGCCCGGAAATCTGGAAGCTGCGAGGCGCGCTCGGGCGTGCCGTCATCCAGGGCTGACAGCCAGCCCTGATTACATGGGGGGAGGGGGGCCGCGGGGGGGGCCAGGGGTGGGGTCGTATCGGCACGCGTTCGGGGGGCACGCGTGCTGGGTGCGGGGCCGGAAGGGGGCGGGGCGAGCCGTTGGGGGTGCGAGCGCGCGTCATCTGCCTCCCTAGTTCGTCCAGCCTGCACCCTCCCATTGCATTGCGACTGATACAGACAACGCCCTCCCGCGCCCGCCGGGCCGCGCGGGCCGCCCGCCCCACCTCGGCGCGCGCATCCCGGCGCCCCTGCAGCTGCGCCACCATCGCGTCCACGTCCGCGTCGGTCGGCACGTACGCCGCCCCCTCGCCGCCGCCGCCGCCGCCCTCCTCGGCCCCCTCCTCTTCCTCGCCCTCCTCGCCCCCGCCGCGCGCCTCCGGCCGCGTCGCCGCGCCCGCAGCGCCGTCGCGGCCGCCGCTATCGCGGCTCTCTGCCTCATCCTCGTCGTCGCCGCCCGCCTGCTCCACGAGCGCTAGTGGCTCAGACACCAGCAGCAGCTCTCCGCCTGCCATGGTCCTCGCCGCCTCGAGGCCGCGGCCGGTCGGGCCTGTGTGTGCATTCACATACAGTGGCGAGGCCCGGTGGGGGGTGGGAGGCGCTGTGCGTCTGGGGGGTCGCGAGATTGAGGCTCCGGTGAGTGGAGGTGAGGCGGAGAGTGGCACCGATACAGCGCAACGGCGCGTCGGGGCATGAAGTAAAGGGGAGTCAATGACGAGCAGTCTTCGATGCTGCAGCGCGCGCGTGCTCACCGGCGTATCGCGCCGCCTGCACAGGACCCAGCCACGCGGCCGGCGGCTGTTTGGCAGTGTAAAGCTTCTCATCTGGCTGGGTGGGGGCGGCGGCCGCGGCGGCCACCGGCAGGGTACGGCGTGCCCGCGGCTGCACCCCGGCGCGCCACGTCAGCCGCACAGGGAGACCGCTGTGTGCCGCGGGGCCGATGCGGGGCCGCAGCTGCATAGCCATTGAGTCGCTGCTGATGGGCGCCCAGCCGCAACGGCAATGGCCGCGGGGCGCCGCGCGCCTTGAGTAGAAGAAAGGGTGGTGCTGCCCGGCTGCTGCTGTGAGTGCTGCGGGATGGCCGTGGGTGACGGCTGCCAGGGTGGAGGTGTGCAAACATATCAATAATCAATTGCCGCGCGTAAACAACATTTGTCGAACATCCTCGTTCTATAGCATGGCGTAGCTGCCACAAGCGAGGGCACAGATCGCGCGATGTCTGAAGACGCCGCGAGGACGCCGCGGACATCGCTCTTAGGACGTATCAGCACCCCTTTAAAGCAGGCTGCGAGCTATCTAGGGGGCTTCGCGCGCGGTGGCACCAGCAGCGGTCCCAGCCCAGAGCAGGAGTCAGGTGAGCCTCTGATGCTCTGTGCTATTGCCCTGATCCCTCATAATCAGCATGCGAACCAGCCACCCGGCCCTCCGCAGCTCCGGCCTCGAGTGCGCGCGATGGTGATCTGCCGGCGCCCAGGCAGGCTGAGGCCCCCGTTCGCGAGGTGAGACCGTGTCTTACTTCATCAGTTTGTCACCACGAGCCTCATGCTTGCGATCGTGGTGGTATGGTGCCAAGATCGCTGGGCAAACACTGGTGATCGGCTGGCCGCACTCTTCTCAGGCCTCCCGCGGCAATGAGGACGGGCGTATGTTGCAGCCTGATCTGGCGCAGCAGCTGCTCGACTCGTCACGCAACTGGGACGCCGAAAAGTTAGCGGCGCTGGAGCGCTTCATGACGCGCCCGCGCGCAGTGGTGCAGCCACCGGCCTCCCAGCAGCCCTCCACATTCGTGCGCCACATTCAGCAGCTGCAGCATGAGCCACCAGAGGCGCCTGGCACTGGCCCGCTGAGCTCCTTCTACCGCATCCTCAAAGACGCCCCAGCGGCATCGCTGCTGCTGCCTGGTGGCGACAACGCACTCAGCGGCAGCCAGCAGCAGCTGGATCTGCAGTACGGGGCCGCAGGCGCCGCGAGGCGCACGCCAAGCCGGGCCGGCGCCCTTGGGGCCGCTGCACGGTACGACCCTTATGCGCGGCCGACGCCCCTGGGATCTTCTCGACCCCCCAGCCGGTCGGGGCTGCTGCCGCCCGTGCCGCCGAGCCCCCTCGCGCGGTGAGTTTTTTTGCCTGGAGCGAAGGCAGAAGGGGGAGACGGCCATGTGCTTAGCATGCTCACTGCGGTTGCGCCTCGGCGAAACGCCGGCGTGGCTCAACGCCTTATGCCGCCCACCCTGACCTCGTTTTCTGGCCCCCCTTCTGACAGGCAACTCGGCGGCGACGCCGGCAGCGGCGGCTTTGGCAGCGGCGCACGTGGTGCCGGGGGCGCCGGGGCTAGCCTCGGCTTCCTGGCAGGCCCTGTGTACAGCTCAGCGGGCACGCACCGGCCCCTGACCCCGTTCCCCGCCAAAGGCCCCGCTTCCAGGCCGGGCACGCCGCAGGCCGCTGGCCCGGCCGGCGACGGGGCAGGCGGCTCAGGGCGGCAAGTGGCGGCAGAGGCAACAGCAGCGGCGGGCGCGGACGCGCACCATGCAGGGGCTCCCAATGGCAGCGCGGCGGCCGACGGCCCACTGCCCAGACCTGCAGCGTCAGGTGGCGTCGCAGCTGCGCTTGCTCTCGTGCCCGCAGGCGGCCCGCCCCAGCGCCCGGCCGGCCCCCGCGTAGCGGCGCCAGCGCCCGCGGCGCGCCTGCCGCGCGCGGCAGCGGCGGGGCGCGGGGCCGCGGGGAAAGGCGCGAAGCCCGGCGCTCTGCTGCGGCCGATGCGCAACACGCCGCTGCGGCTGCCGGGGCAGCAGCGGCGGCACCAGCAGCAGCAACAGCAGCAGGCGCCGGCCCTGCCGGCGCCCGCCACGGCAGGCACTAAGCGGGCGGCGGAGACACCATTGGCTCTGACGCTCGCCCTCGAGGGAAGCACACACCACTTCTCGTCAGGTGGGTGCTGGTGATTCAAGGCGGCCGTGCGCCGCATATGTACTGCCGGTGACATGCGCTGCAGCGCGACAGCCGCAGCACAGGGGCCGGGGTCGCTCTGCCTGTTGCCGCACGCCCGCACCCTTTGCCTGCCTGCTGCGCCTGACTGCCCACTCGCCGCATCTACCTCTTTGCGGCCGACCGCAGCCTCGAAGCGCATGCGGCCGTCGACGCCCAGCCATTCAACGCTGCGTGCGATGGCGAACCTTGGCTACGCGGGCGGCGGCGGCGCCGCCGCGCC